CATATATATTTTAATATATTGATAATATATGTTTTTACATCTATAAAAATATACTTATTTAAGCAGTACAGTTTAAATACACTCACTGAAGGAATAACAGAAGAACTTGGATTATTATTTATATTAAAAGAAGGACTGTCCTTTATTTTATGATTTCTAAAAAGTGTACCAGCAAGGACATACAAGGGCAAAGAGACTGTCTTAAAATATTAAATAAGCTTTCACATTGTGACTGACTTGCTCAAAATAAAAACGTCACACTGTTTCATTGTAAGAGTTTTAGCAGGTTTGAAAATTAACACAAGTCAGTCATACCTTTAGCCACAGCTTCTTTATACTTCTCTTTGGCAGAATTCACTTCTTTTATTAGTTGCCTATAGCTAGACTTTAGTTTTTCTAGTTCTGTCTTCGTGACCTTTAAGAAAAAAGAAACACAAAAAGTATTAAGAATATTTATACTCAACACAGGAAAAAATCTCACAGCATTAGTCAAAGAAAACTAACAGTATTTATTTTCCAAAATAAAGATGTTACACTTTTCATCAGACTGAGACAATCTTAACAGGATATTACACAGTGTAACAAAATCAAAACCACTCAATACACAGAATGAAATAAGAGGCCTGAAACAGAGACCTCCACCCACACTGGTGTAATGAAATACATGGTTAGGAAATCCAGTCAATCACAAACACAATTCCATTTCAATGACAAGGAAAAGAAGCACCAAAAAGATGTTTAATAAATCATATTAGATGAAGAAGTTCTATGCAGAGGAAGGATCTGAAAAAAAAGCAAAACAGAATAATTTTTAGATATTACATTTCATGCAAACTGCTTAGAAACCGCAAACATGCACAGACCAATTTATCTGTTGTAAGACTTGAAAACCTAAAAAAAACCAAAAGAAATCAAAACATAAAAAGCCCCAAAACAACAAAACTACACTGGAGCACAGCACAGCAGCACACCTCTTTTCGCAGTGAAAGCAGCTGCACTGAATATTACATTTTTGGCCAAAAAAACAGAAATAAATTTGTCTCTTCTTTAAACTAACTTTCTTTCTCTGAACTTTCATTCACTGTGCGACAAAATTAGTGCACTGTTCAGAAATAATCACAAAACATGAACTTGAAAATGGAAGTTAACAACAAACCAGCCACTCTAATACCAAAAAGGTGGCATATATAATACAGAAGCGTAAAAACTCGGGCAAGAAGAATAATACAGACACAATGGGAAATTGTGGAAGAGAAACTTAATTTAACTGAAGTGCTTCCCTCAAGGAATGTGCAGAAAACAAAGTCCATTCTACAGAAAAACTGTTCCTCCTGCAGGAAGCTTGAAGAAGGCTGGAGTCCACAATTCTCCCTTTTTTCATAAGGGAAGGCTCAGATATTACTACTTTTATCCTCAAGAATAATATCTGGAAACTTAATGGAATCCTCAAAGAGCCAGCAAAGTGCAATCTACAGTTTCTATGTCTGGGGAAACTTGCAATGTTTATTTTAAAGGTAGGAACTTCTCTCCACACCAATCCCACATTCCCATCTCATATTTCTACACATTTTAAATTATACTCACAACTGTTGATATTATGGACTAATATTGGTGACAATAGAAAAAAAAAAAAAACACCTTTA